ATTACGTCCATGGTTACACAAATGTTTAGCTAACAATCTGTAAAACTGACAATGTTCTTGCCACTTTTGTAATGGCTACGAATGGTTAGCTGGTAGAGCCATCTTGTATGGGTTTGGCTCCAGAAGTAGATGTACTCCCAGTTATTACTTTCTAAAAGTTCTTTTTAAATCTAAATCCTTTTAAATCCTTTGGTTCTTGAAATGTTTTCCTAACAGACATTAAAGTCGACGCAAGTGAAAACAGAGATTTAAAGTCTCTTTCCGGAGTATTTCTCTTATCCGATGGCACCATCTAGTGGCTGACAAGCACAATACACAAATAATTTCTCCATTCGTTTTTAAGATGGCGACTTCACGTTTCTAGTTTATAAATGTGCTTCTGTAGCCAACAGACAGAGTTAAACACGTTGTTTTATGAGTATTATTCTTGTGTCATGTTGTAGTTTTTATATATTTATACTTTAGAGATTTACTTGTTCGTGAATAGTTCATCAACTCTGCACCAGCTGAGGTATTCCTTAAATTTGAAGCACGTGTAACCCATGTAGAAAGTCAGGATATAAAACTAATCTACTAGTCTGACATGTTAAGCTCTTACTCCACAGGACGTCACTTCCTGTTTAGAAGAGCCGAGTGTCAGCAGCACTAGACGTGCAGAGAGACAACAAGGCAGACAACAACAAACTGTTGTGAATAAAACAATGACCTGACTATTTTGGACGAGAGATGTGATGAATATTACCAGAGTGTGAGGCGTTATGCTAATGCTAAGTGCGAGATGCTAACGTTTAAGCTAACGGTTAAATTAACAGTTTACAAACTGTATAAATGTCAAATGGATTCATATGTACTGCCTTAATGTTGGTTTTACGTTACTTGTTAGATCAAGAAAGGTAATTGATGAGATCTCATAAGATTTGACAGGATCTGATATTCTTTCAACCCTACACTTCTTGTGTAGGTTGGTTTTTTCCTCTGTACAGGCGATCAGAACTGTCAGTGATTTGAAAGATTGGATGGCGAGCCCAGCCCAGTGATCCTGAAGGCAGTTGGTGATGCGGTGTGGCCAGCCGCGGGTCCTGCCCAGAAATCCTTGGATTATTGCAACAGTCTACTAATCACAGATAAGAGACTCACGTTAGCAACCTACCCGGGTAGTAGGAGTAGTAATACTGGAGGAAAACGTGAACAGCACACACACACACACACACACACACACACACACACACACATTTTGGAATCCGAATTATTAACCGGTTGAGCTCAATCGAATGGACTGATTTGGTTTTGTTTTCTTTTTTTTTTCTTGTGGCACCTTAATTTTCATTGAGAGTTACAGCAGAGCTGTCAAAAATTTTGTCGTGCAGCAATAAATGTTAATTGTTCAACCTAGCACTTGCTCCCTTTTTGAGTGTTACTCCTATAGAACCTAAGTAAAGGTGAGTATCTCAACTAAAGTTAGGATAGAGGTGCTACACATGTAAGTGGCAGTCTAACGCTATTCGTTAGTTCTGGTCGGCTCTCAGTTAGGCAGGAGGCGTGCTCAGCCAAAGAAAATAAATAAATAAATAAAAAGACGTACTGCTTACATTATATCACAGTACATGATAAGATAATCACTTTTACGGATTTCAGACAAACCATACGAAAACCTCCGGAAAGATAGTTAAAAGCTCTTGAAAACCTGTGAAGGATGACTGTTGACAAAGTCAAGATTAGATGGATTTGCTTCTATGATGGTATTTGCACCAACTTGCACCCAAGGCTCAGATTTGTGCGCCGAGGTCAGAGAGAGACATTATATCACATACAATATCTTTGTCAAATCCTTTTAACAAAGGACTGGCGGGACTGGGAATCCTTTCCCTGGCGGATAACAAAGATCCTATTGATCTCTGGACCTGTGGAAGTGAAAGAGGGAGATTTCTTGATTAATATAAGCTCGTCCATCTCCCAACAGATCTCGCCTCAAGAGCTGAGCTCAGTGGGAATATCAGCACATCACCTCTAAATGTCCTTTTGATGAGTGTGCTAAGTGAATGACCGTGAGTGTGTGTGAGAGCGTGTGTGTGCATTTAGTTTCTCATAACAGAGTTCATTTCGAGACCCCATGTGAGCCGTCAGCCTCCTGATGCTGTGTGGTACATCAACAGCAGCTGGAAGGCACTAAAGGCAACAATCAGATAAGCAGTTTGCCAATTTCTCATTGTGTAGATGATGCACACGCGACGTCAAAGCAAGCGGGAATGAAAGGTAAAAAAAGAAACTAATTAAAAATGAATTCACCAGCCTTGACTGCGCTAATGGCTTTCGATTAATCATCAAACGATGAAGGGAAAAGGAAAAATCCAGTTTTTCTGCTCTTTTCCTTCACCTTTAGCACTCCTGAGTCCTTTAGCTTGTTCAAAATCACAACTGTTCACTATAAAGGTGACGCTTGAAAAATTACAAAATGTTGCAAAAGTCCTTTTATTTCAGTGATTCAGCTTAGACTGAGAGACCCTCTAAAGGTGTTCCAGAGTATCATCAGCCATCAAGAGTGTGACACAAGTCTAGAATATTAAACCTATTCACAATATTCAAATTGTCTGACATTTTGAATGCGTTTATTTTTCTAAGCTGTAAGCTATAACCATCACAGTTATAACAAATAAAGGCTTGAAATATCCGGCTTTGCATGCAATGAGTCAATCTTATGTATTAGTTTTACCTTTTAAGTTGATTTACTGAAATAATTGAACTTTTGCACCATATTTTTCGAGTTTCACCTGTATTTATCAGGGAAGTCCAATATTGGAATTAATATTTATTCTCGGAAATGACTAGTTTCTACTCTTTCAATGACAACTTTTACATGCCATGCACAAATACATCAAACTCGTCAACTATTTAACCTCTCACTCAGAATGTCATAATATGACAGACTGCCTTTTTTTTTTTTTGCAAAGATGATGTTTAAAATTTAAGTATGCATGTTGATATGTGACTGGCTGCACAGTGGTTATAGCTGTTGTCTTGTAGCAAGAAGGTCCAGGGTTCGCTTCCCGGCCTGGGATCTTTCTGCATGAAGTCTGCATGTTCTCCCTGTGCATGCGTGGGTTCTCTCCGGGTACTCTGGCTTCCTCCCACAGTCCAAAAACATGACTATTAGGTTGATTGTTCTGTCTTAATTGTCCCTAGGTGTGAGTGCGTGTGTGTGCATGATTGTTTGTCCTGTGTGTCTCTGTGTTGCCCTGTGATGGACTGGCTCTCTGTCCAGGGTGTATCCCACCTGGTTGCCCGTTGACCGCTGGAGATAGCCAACAAATCTGCTGGGGAGACATTTATTCCTGTTTAATAGAAAGCCCTGGACCCTTCAGTCATGAAAGATTAAGGGCTTTCAAAAGTCTGGAGGTCTACGGTTATTTTGTTTTAGGAAAGTTGGCCCGATCTCTTCTGTATAACGGAAAGCCGCGGCTGTGCTAAAAGCAGGAGCCAGACCCGACGAGCAGAGTCAGAGTGATTCACATCACCTGTGGGTGATTGCCAAAGAAAACAGATGAATCCTCACTGAGACTGCAGAGTCTTCATTAATTAATGTGCTTATTTATTTACCTCTTTATTATTATAACGGTCACGGGTAGCGTTGGGTACCGAATTCGGTACTTTTTAAGGTACCGACCGAATTCCACAGTACCGAATGAGCACTGTTTCACGTCATTTGAAACGGTGCCTCGTTTCGGTACCCGTCCTTCATAACGAGAACTTGCCTAGACAGCTGTGCATGTGCAAGAGCGTTATGTCGTCGGTCGCTGCAAGCCAGTTGAAAACAGAGTAGCATGGTAGAAAGAACGCATGCTAACGCTTGGGTCCACTTCACTAACTGTGATGGGTAACTGGGTGATGATGAAACCAGCGACTGCGATCTAAGTGAGACATCCTCATCTTAATCTGCTCCGGTAGGTAAATAAAATGTTTAAGATAACGTTAGCTTGATATGTTAGCTTCCGTTCCGCTAATGGTGCGTTCGCTTTCTCCTCGGAACTCCGAATTTCCGACTGGAAGAACACGAACGCGCTCTAAAGTTTGGCTTCACTTTACTAAATGCGACGGGTGACTGGGTGAAGATGAAACCAGCGACAACGATCTAAGTGTGAGGCATCATCGTTTTAATCTGCTCCAGCAGCTAAATAAACTGTTTAAGATAACGCTAGCTTGATAAATTAGCTTCCATTGCCACCATTGTGATCAGCTAATGGTGCGTTCGCTTTCTCCTTGGAAATTCTAACTTCCCAGTAAGAAAAATCAAACGAAAAAGGATGGCAAAAGGAATGAAGATACACAGTAAATTTAGTTCACAGTAAAGATGTTTGCTTCAGTTTAATTATCAGCTTATAAAACTACAAGGACGATGTTAAAATACAAACAGTTGTATGTTGTTTATCGTGATATTTATCAAATATGGTTATTGTTGAGAAAAATATATATTTAATTATAAAAGAGAATTAAAATGTCAAACACTCAAAAGTATCTAAAATTGGTACCGTTAAGTACCGGTATCGATTCCTAGGTACCGGGAATTAGTACCGAATCGATTCAAATGTCAAAGGTACCCATCCCTAATCACGGTTTGAGACACCTGAATCAGAATAGGAAAGCAGCATGAATCTGTGGATTTAAAAATACACAAAGATGAATGATTTTAAAAACCTCTTCTTTAATTAACAAATGCTTAGTCACAAGGACTCGCAAAATGAGACTCTCAAGCTGTTGCTGCAGGAATCCACAGTCCGGGTCGACTGCAATCATCTCTTTCGTATTTCGCGTTCCTGTAAGGAGGAAATTCCAATCAAACTTTTTATCAAGACTCCCACGGGCCAAACAATCAACCACAGAGCAAGAATGGCCCCTCTGCTTCGCTAAATACTCCTTCCAAAGGTGCAAAACAATCAAATTATAGAAAAACTGCACTGTTTCTTGCACCCAGTCCCGTGATGCAATGCGAGAAATACAAACATTGGCCTAAAAACGATCCTCCTATTCAAAGCTGAGCATTAATGCATCTGTACTTCGACTAAACAATGCCACATGGGGCAAAAAGGCCATACAGCTGGTGACCAGTGATGTGTACATCGGAAGATAAACAAGATAAAAAATAAGGATTGGTGGATAAACCAATCAATCAAAAGACATTATGAAAGTTCCTACTCTTGGGAGGATTGTAACAGATGCTGATGAGATTTCTCAGTAGAACAGAGTCCTTATATCGGAAGGTTTGGAGTGGTTGCCTATTGTTCCATTGTTGCTCATAAACTGTGGCACTAGAGGGAAAGAGCGGCTGTTAGTAGTTTGTTTTGCTCTGTGTTTAATGGGAGATGCATAAGGTGCTCTGAGCAGGGACTGCTCCAAGGTCAGAGACAGCCCCGACGGTATCACGTCTTTGTTCCCTCACAGTAACCCAGCGAAGTTTAAATGAAGCCTCGAGAGTATTAAAACCCACCCAAGCTGTTTTATTCCCCTACAACCAAAGCTTCAATTCAAAACACTATTCAGAGTGCCTTCCTTGTGCTTGCAGTACAATTCAGAGTTTCTATTCAATGTCAGGTTATTATTTTGACTCTAAATAGCACCTGATTATTATCTGATGATCATTTTAAGTAAAATATTTTCACCAGCTGTGGAGAAGGTTCAAATCCTGGTTCACGTGAGTCTTTCCGTGCCAAGTTTGCATGTGTGAGCTTCCTTCGACGGTCTAAAAACAGGCGATTTAGCCTTGTGTGGGTTTCTAAAGCAACCAGAAGTGTGTGTGAATGTGTCGGTGTGACCCACCGATTGGTACTTAACAATTAACTTAAGAAACACCACTTCATTACCCTAAACATATCTCTAGACCATTATCACACCTTGCAAATTCACCCTAAAAGATATTTTCCAATTTATATCGTTACAAGGTATTTAGTCCTGCAGCACGTGGTAAAGAAACACACATTTCATTACAGCTTCCAAAGCTGTCCATTAATGGCTTCCCAGGGCTTAGTTCCAAAATACAGACTTAGGATTCAACAGGCTTTTTTATTTAGAAAATACTAATTACATCAAAACTTCAATTATTATAATTAGAGTCATACTTGAGCCACCAGAAATGTTAGCTGAATTCATTTATCTACAAAAGCAACAAAATAAACACATTTCTTATCAGTTAGTTACACATTTACCCACATTCTGGACAAGATTTTCAGTAAAAATGAAAGAAATCTGGTGATTTAATAGAATTGTCACTAAGAAGACAAATCTATTAAATTGGAAATAAAACCTCTCAATAATAATCAATGGACATCACCAAACACATATTAATAGAAACAAGATGTATCCATTTGCATATAAATGCAATTCCCCCCCCCGCACCCCCACACCCCCCCCACCCCCCACCCCCCAGGAAATCAAGACTCCAGACCTGTTTCCTACTAACCACTGAACTTTTCACACGGCTGCAGCGGCATTCGTTTGTGGTAAATAAAGACCCACAGGTAAATGTCACGTGCTGTTCTTCTGACGTTGTTTTACCTAATTAAGACTTTTTCAGGACCACAGGACTTTTTTTTTGTTACGCTCTCCTTTGTGTAAAACCTTTGAATTGAAAAGAGGTGAATTTCATTATAAGGCACAGTCATATTGGGGGAAAAAAAATTCACAGAGATAGAAGGTTCCTGAGGAAATGCAGCCAAATCCCTCGTCTCCTCAGTGCAAATGAATTTCTTTTGCCAGGGTGATGGAACTAGAAAGCAGGAGTCTAGTGTTCGTTTATCTCTCCTTGTTCAGCATTCCTCGGGGGCCACTCCATAGAAGAAAAGGGTCTTTATCAGCCTTAAAATATATTGGATGAAAAAGGTACGAGGAGAAATGTTTGACACTCCTCCCAACCAGCTCTATCTGGTTTTATCTGGTTTAGATGCTGCTTCTACATTTTAACATACTATGTTACAAGATCAGAATGATTACATTTCTAATGACAAGGCAGTACAGTTAACACAATTTGTCTTTCAATTTACCTCCAGGATGCAGGGTGTTGCCTCACAAAAGGTTGCAGGTTTAAAGGTTGGGGCAGCAGCGGCAAAACCTCTGACAAGAACACGGCTTTCGGCTCGGCTCGAAAGAAACGATTAGACCATCGGGTTGTCCGTCTCACCAAACCACCGTCTTCCGTGTTTTCCTGGGTCCTCCACACATTATGCACTTGCTTATTTTGCAACAAAAAAATAAAAAATGCCGGTGTGAGAGGTTTGTGGCTCAAATAGTGCATTTTGATATTGTAGCTTGGTTTAACAACTTTATCCAGGATCATCTACTCCAGTGTTTCTCAACCCTGGTCCTCAGGGCACACTGGCCTGCATGTTTTCCTTGTCTCTGCTTCAGCACACCTGATTTACATTGGCTCCTGAAGAAGACAAGTGCTGCAGGTGCCTGTTGATCACTCATTCATTTAAGTCAGGTGTGTGGCAGCAGGGAAACACTGGTGCTTAACTCATTCACTCCCAGCCGTTTCCTTACCAGTAAAGCCATTCGCTGCCAGCGTTTCTCAGCGTTTTTTATGTTTTTTTAAGAGTCACAGAACACTGCACGCTATGTTGATTAGGGTATCTGCAGGTTTAAGGGAGCCAAATTTAAGACTTTTTAAGACCTTTTTTAAGGCCACTTTGACCAAATTTAAGCAAATTTTTAAAATTTAATTTCTGCTATAATTTCCAGCTATTGCCTGGAACAGGTGCTAACCACGTCACGAACGTGGGATTAGCCATCCATATACCATTAAACTTGCACTTCCCCATGGCGCAAGCTCCCACTAGCTTTACCAGCTAATGTGCTCATCTAAAAATAGCCCCCTTTCACAACCAACTGAATGTGTACGGTTCCACTTATGCCAACATCATACACAAAAAATGCTCATCACTAACTAGAAATTCACTAAAATTTCATAGAAATAAAATAATTTAGTTTATTGGGTCTTTGGTAATTTAAGACCTTTGGAAACTGTATTTAAGGATTATTTGTCATTTTTAAGGATTTTCAAGGCCTTAAATTTGGAAAATTAAATTTAAGACTTTTTAAGATTTTTCAAGGACCCGCGGATACCCTGGTTGATGTCGACGCCAAAACAACCAAAACAAAGAGGAGACTCACCTCTTACATGAGGAAGAATCCGCGAGTTTCGAGCGTTATCCTTTCTTTTATGATCCGTTGTTGAATTGTGATCGGCAGAAGCTTTTCCGGGCCGCGCCTCACTTTTTTTTTACAGCAGCGGCCCAAAACCATCTCCTAACACATGGATTTTCTGCTTCCTGATCACGTGACGTGTGACGTATGCAGATGAAGATCGGCTTCAGAGCTGAGATGTTTGTTCTTACGGTGCGGGGGCTCGTTCCGACGCCCACACAGTAGAAAAATGCAAATGATGACTTTAGTCATCAATGGCAGTGAATGAGTTAAAAGGGCAACATGGCAAACATGCAGGACAGTGGTCCCTGAGGACCAGGGTTGGGAAACACTGAACCTTAAGCGTAGACTTTGCATGTTTTCTCCATGCATGTGGGCATTTTCTCAGGGTACTCCAGTTTGCCTCCTTGAATGTTAGATTATAATTAGCTGTTAGTGAGTGTGTGAATTGTGTGTGTCCCTGTGATGGCATGGATCCATGCATTCATGTGGTTGACACCAAACTATTTCAGCTACTGTTGTCTTTCTATCATCTAAAACTAGTATGCCCACTCTCCTATCATCTTTGACCTCAACAAAATATTTTAATCCTCATGACATTCAGTCACTAGATAGTTATTCTTTTTTGGACAGTTCACTTTGAATCCTAGAGATGGTTGTGGGTGAAAATCCCAGTAGATCAGCAGTTTCTAAAATACTCAGACCAGCCTGTCTGACACCCAAAAACAATGCCACGTTCAAAGTCACAACATAATCGAGCAGCTCTAACCAACAAAGATTGTATTTCTATATAAGCGTGTGTACAAGAAGAAGTCAACTGGCTGCACGGCATTGTCACCTCACGAACACAAAATCAATAGTGACACCTCCTCGGAGCCGACTGCAGCTGTTACCAAGTGGTAGAAGAGCTGGGAGCACACAGAGCTGTAGGCTCCCCTGCAGGTCTGTTACCTCCATCATCAGCATTAAGTCAGTGTGAAGTCACCAGGACGCTCATGGGAATATTTATTCCAGCCCAAAGCGCCTCTATTCACACACAGCCCGGTAAGCACACGTAGGATGGGCAACAAGCATGTTAAAACTATGGCGAATCCAGTTGAAAGCTCAAAAAGTGATGAGTCTAAGGGCGTATATCAGATCGCCAGAGAAATTTCTATGATAAATGTCTGAGGGAAGCTGGATTGCTCGGATCCTGTGGATAAGGGTCATTAGGCTGTTGTGGGAACAGCTCGTGACAGGTCCAGAGCACAGTCAGAGATGAGGAGGGATGTCAATAGCTCATTTTCATAGTCGGCAGCTCAATTCCCCATCCCGTTTCTGACTGTGCTGGTGTAAAACCTGATTCACTCCAGTGGCTCACATGATTGGACGCCAAAAGACCAGAATTATACCCGCGGAAAAAAGCTCCCTTCTAGCTCTCACTTTGAGTCTAAGCAGAGCATGAGAGAAACAAGAGCATCTGAACTAACAGTAACATCAGTCTTCACCCCAACTAACCTTGGAGAACTTCATCGTCAAAGGTTTAAAATTTTAGATGCGTGTGTGAGACGCTGAAAGTGTCCATACTCAGTAGTTCCAACTTTTCACACTGCTGGGAGTTTGATTTAGACATAAAAAGGATTTACGTTTCCAACTGGCAATCATCTGGTGTGGCACAAGCCTATGGATCAAGCTGTAACCAAAAAGATTTTCTATCAACTTTCTTTTCCTGTTAATACATACTTTTAATTGCCTTGCAAAAAAATCGATACAGAGCATGGTGTATTTAACGGTTGGGAAAAAAAATCAATATCACAAATATCAACCGATAAACACAGAGAGCAAAATATTAGAAAGGAAGCTGACAGAAACGTAGCAAATGAAGACAAATAACAGTGTGGAGAGAGTCAGAGAGAGAAGTCGATGCACTAACAATGCAAAAATAGAATAATAAAGAGGGAATAGAAAAAAATTCACATTTGCCTGAGAAAGAGATGTATGCAAGAGGGTAAAACCATCAGAAGGAAAGCTGTCTTATTCTCTAAGAGTGGTAGCAAAAAAACTGTAGATCTAACATGTAAAGACTTGGGGGGGGGGGGGGGTGACCTTTGACCTGAAATAATCACACTTATTAGAGGCTATACAGAGTTTACGACTCAACGGAGATCTCGTCTCAAGACTAATGAGAGCCAAACTCAACTCTTGAACCTTACTTAATATCAATAAATCAGTACGCTGAAGCAATTAATTCCTAACAGTTTCAGCTTATGAATCCCGTTTACGGAGTTGGATGAGATGAAACTGGATAAACGAGACTTAAAACAAATGAAATTAAAAAGAAAAAAAAAGATAAAAGGGGCTTGATTTTATGGTAAAAAATGTTTAGGGCATTTCTTGGAATTTTTTTTATAGCTGTGGTTATGACTGTAAATAAGTTAAAGTAGATCGTTTTTTAAACTTTAAGCTAGAGCTTTAACATTGATCTCAGTGATTGAGTTAAAAACTTGACCATTTTCATATTTGACACCACTCTGCAGCTCTCTACCCACCAGACACTGCATAGAGGAAACTCTTAAGCAGCTTTACAGCTATTAGCTGTTATGCTAGCAGTTAGCTTTTTCAGTTTGCTGATCGTCAAATAAAACAACACAAGAAGAGAAAGTAGTTTAATTTGTTGTTGGCATCATGGCAGAGCCTGGAACTAAAAATCAGAGAGTAATGTTTTTGGAGGCGAAGCAAACAGAGTGAACATGAGCGCAGCTACACTAGTTTGAAGGAGCTAAAGGAGGCTACAAAAGCACGGGCTGATGATGACTTGGCTTTGCTACTACTGAACTTGTAAGTAATAACATTTTTTGTAACAGTGTGGATCCTTTTATTCAGGGCCGCCGCTGTTCATACGCAAAGTACGCAGAATGCGAAGGGCCTCGGTACCTGGGGGGGCCCAAAAAATTATTACAGAGTTGAGTTATTATGACAGTAGCATATTGCTCAGAAAACATACAAATTAGTTGCCCTCTGTTTGAGCCTTTGAGTGTTTTCTTAATTATGTAGCCTGTCAGTCAAAATTCGGGCAAAATAGCCATTCTTATCATTTTCAAACATTACCCATTAGTTAGAGTCTGCGCTTCTGTGTTGAGGCTTGTAAATATTCCAGTGCTACTAAGCAGAGACTAGCTCTAGTAACGGCAGGTTACTTACATGCACATCTTAGTTGAGCTTTAAAGACATGCCAGTCAGAAAATCTAATTATTGGATGAAGTGAGTCATAAATTCAATGTTCTATAAATATTACTCATCTTTCTAAAGTCTTTTTTACCATGTTGTTGGCTGTTTCCATGTAGCTTATCAGCTGTCTGTCAGCAAACAACCTATTGTTCTCCAGTATGTTTTGTAGTTCACAGTAACCTTGTTAATCAATTTCCCTCTGGGATTAATAAAGCATTTTTGAATTTGAATTGAATAATTAACTAAACACTGCTAATTAAACAATTATTATGTCTGTTATGTTTACTTCTGCATGACTCAAAAAAGCTCTGACAAATTGGCTCCCTGGCCAATCAAGCTTAGGGCCTCCAAAAGCCTAGCAGCGGCCCTGCTTTTATTTCATTGTTTATTCTAATAGTAGTTGACTCACGTTAGTGTTAGCTCGTTGTTAGCACTAGCTATAGCAGGCTGCAACAGGGTTGTTCACAACTGTTGCAAATCCACTTTCAACAAGGGCAGAAGAGCAGGAACTTGCTGAGTTTCTTGAAAGCAGATACAAAATAAAATTTTCCATTAAGCAACCAGGTGGCCATGGGGGTAATGAGAGAAAAAAGGAAAATGAAATACAGAAAAGTCTGATATTGTATTATTATGGCTGTAGCGTCACAAAATGGCCTGATTTTAAGACTCACAGGTCAGATCCACAGCCTGAGTCACCTTGCCCTGGCTACTACTCCAATCTCCGATAGTCCTTCACAGGAGACTTAAAAGTCTACTACCACTCCTTTAATCTGCAGCTGTCTGCTATCTGACTGCTATTCGGTCCACAGCAAGACGAGG